GACACACTTACTGTGCATTAAGCGTGCATTTGTGCACATTAGCTGAATGCACTTCGGAAGCGTATTACGCTAACCCGCCTGAGGGCACTCACCGTGCAGTAGGATTGTGGACATTGGGAGTTAGTGAGGAGTAGCCAGTGTGCTGTGAATGCACACCTCGGCTCACTGCACGCTAACTTCCCCATGTAGACAAGCCCGTGGTTACTGCAATAAAGGAGTCTAGGGGCTCAAAGCCTGATTGAATGCTCCTGCAGCTACAGTATTACCTTTCACTCCCACGGACCCCAAAGTGTTCGCTAATGGATTGTACACATTCAGATCTAGCGCAAAAGCATTCCTGTAGCATCTGCCATTCAATCTGAACCTCCCACCAACCTGGTGTAGGAGGTTGCTGTCACTAGCCCTCTTTTACTAGTGGAGAAACTGAGGCACAGAGCGGTTATGTGATTTCCCAGTGAGTGGGAACTAAACCCAGGTCTCTGGACAGAATGTTCCACGTCTAGGGCAGAGGGGTGGCCTGCGTCACAGATGGATGCTCCCAATAAGGCGGGCGCATGCTGCCTAATGCACAGCTGCTCTCACTGCACCTCCTTCCCCAGGTGGCTGGGTTAGGAGAGGAGGCTGTTGGCGCGGGGAACCCCCCGATTAGCAGCGTGTCACGTGGATAGTCACTGGAGACAGCGGTTTGAGGCCAAGCTCCAGCTCCGCTGTTCTGGCAGTGCAGTGCAAGCTGTAAAGCCGGTGGGCCCGGCCCCAGTGCAGGAGAACCCTTGGGTAATGCACAGGTAGCTCCCGTCTCACTGGTCCTCGCTGCTGGAACAGAGGCATGGCTGGGAGAAGCGGGGGGGCATGTCGAGGCAGCCCCATGCCCTGGCGATCTCCAGCTGCCAAAACACCACTGGGCAGCCAAACTAGCCCCAGGGTTGGGAGGGTGTGAAATTGGCATTAATGGTCCCCACCCCTCTGCCCTAGAGGTGGAACATTCTGTCCGAGGGCCTAGGCTGGCAAGGTGCGCCATTAGTGGGCGTTAAGGAGGCTCGGGATTCCCCTGGAGAGGTTGGCAGGTGCTGGGCTGGGCTCCCAGCTGAGACACGTTGGTTGGGGTAACACGTGGGATGCTCGCCCTGCTGCTACCCACCACGCATTCTCTCTCCACTCGGCGGGCCTCTTCCTCTGGTACTTTTCACCAACCATCCGCAGATCCGCAGACACAAAATGTCACGAGCCCCTCACCGCTCGCACCACGGCCCCTGTATTCTGTTCGTGGGGGATTTCGTGCGGCGCCGGACGGAACCTAAGGGCTGTTGTAACAGAAAAGAAAACCGGACCGGAGTGAAGTGCGTGTTCTCGTCAAAGTCGAAAATACACAGGGGCTCGCGGCGAGCTGCTCAGGATAGATGGACAATGATCAATACGCGCTCGTCACTGCTGTAACTCAGGGAACAGCTGGGCCGACTATCCTACAGCACAGCACTGGGGACAGCCACGGAGGGTCCACGGTGGAGCAGTGTTGAAGACGAAGTCCATATGAAAAAGGGTTTTGTTTTTTTTAGTCCTGGCCTTATTGCCTGCTTCCTGGGAGGGAATTGCTGAGACATGCAAGTGTGAGCCCTCCTGTCTCAGGTGATCTCTTGTGCCTTCCATTGAGGATTTCTCTGGCCATTTTGTCCCATGTGTGTTTAATCACACTTAGCACCACTCATTCAGCGCTTGAGGCAAGCAAAGGCTTCCCCCACGTTAGCTAAATAACGCTCCCTGTGATGACGGCACCGTTGGGAGGGGGTTATAAAATTATCCTCATTTGACAGATGTGGGAAAGCAAGGCAGAGCAGTTCAGTGTCTGTCTCAGGTCAGAGATATGAGTCATCGTCAGAGGCTGGATCCTGGCTCCCAGACCTGTGCTCGGCCCAGCTGGTCACATTCCCCTCCTCCTCTCCTCACCCCTCTGTTAACCCTTTCCTCTCTATCTCACAGACTTCCAGACCTCCTAGCATGCAGCACCCGAACAGCAGGCTTGTAACAGCCTTCCATGTGTTGCCCTGGGGGAGGAAATCTTATCAGAGCCTGGTCTGTAACAGCCTCCCATGTGCCTTCCACATGGCATAGGTCCCTTCATCCATCTCTCTTCCCCTTGTCCTCCTCACCTGGCTGCTTCTCATCCTGGCCGGCTTCCCCAGTGGAGGAGAGTGTCTCTAGGACTTGGGAAGGGCTAGCAGAAGGAAGCCGTTCCCAGGAGCCGGATAACTCCTGGCTGTCACTGGTGCCTCTGTGCAGACAAGTCAGAAGATGTGGTGGGGCGAAGCAGGGCATTCTGGGAAAAGTGAGTTGACGTCCGGAGGAAGAATGGGAGGCTCTGTCAAGCAGGGCGATACAGGCCCAGGGCAGCATGCGGAAGGAGGGGTGGAGGCAGGCTATGAAGTGGGCTGTGGGTTATGAGGCGTGGGGAGTATTTCAGTAGCTTCAGCCATGATCAGCTTATTTGTACTAAGTGCTGGCAAACACCTAGGGAGAGACAGTCCTTTCCCCAAAGGCCTTCCAGTCTAAATAGACAAGACGAAGGGTGTGGGGGAAACTGAGGCACGGAGCAGGGACGTGACTTGCCCAAGGTCACCCGGCAGGTTAGTGACTGTAGCAGGAATGAAACCCAGTGCCCTACACACTGGCCCATACTGCTCTGCAAAACCGCCCACCACTTTAGTTCCTTTCGGGCCCGGTAGAGCCTTTCCATTTGATGGCTCTTCAGTGTCCTATGGAAAAGACATTGAGCTCAGCCTGGTTCCCGAAGGCCAGGTGTTCCCACGGCAGCAGCCGGCCCCGGCAGGCTCACGCCGGGATTTGTTCTGGTTCACTGGCAGCCGAGAAACGCAAGTAAAGATGGAAAAACGAAGTGAGTAATTTTTCACCCTGTCAGCTCCAATCTGAATGAAGCTGGAGACCGACCTCCCCCGCACCCAGCGAGCGGTCCCGCCAGGTCAGCGCTGAGCCCGTTGGCAGGGGCCGACGCGGGAGAAGTGCGGGTTGCAGCCTGTGCTGGGCCTGCATGGTGGAGCTGGAAGGCAGAAAGTTCTGGTCTCCAGGGCTATGGACCCAACATCTTTCTCCAGCCAGAAATTTACACTGGGCCTGATCAAAGCCCATTCCAGTCAATGGGGAATCATTCCGGGCTCTTAAAGGGAACAACACTGGGCAGCTGTTTCTGGACCCATCAGCTGTTGCATGTTAATATTCCCCTGAGCTCATCAACACCAGGGTGTATTTGAAGTAACCAGACTAACACCAGCGTCCGAGAGATCGTATCTGGCCAGGGGATAGCACTGGGATGCTCTCTAATTTCAGAGTGTGCGATGCCTGCTCTTTGGTCGCCAACCGTCATTAAGTCATTCAGTTGTGTTCTGAACAATGTCCAGGCTCTTTTGCAATGCACCGCGTGTGTGTCCGTGCGTGCGTGGATCTAGGAACGAATTCCCATGGTTGGTTTTCACAGCCCAAAGTCGGTGCTGCCTCCTGGATCGTCACGTCATTGTGCCGCAACCCGCCCTTTCTCTCGCTGGCTGTCACGTCCGAAAGGAGCGGAGAGGGTGTATTTCAACGGCTGGCGTCTTCTTCCTTTGATTGTTTCCTCTTTGTCCTCGCTAGCACCGGTTCACACAAAAATTCCCTTTCCTGGCATTTGTGTGGCCGATGGTTCCATAGATCCCTCTGCTGGCTTTTCTTTCGCTTCTCTTCCCCTTTTCCTTCCTACGTGTTCACGTTAACTCGAGATGCCATTACCGGGAAGCTTCTTGAATAGCAAGTTGCTCCTGAGCAGTAGAAGTGTCTGCGTTTTGCTGTGCTGCGTCAATGAAGCTCTGTCTGCATAATGAGCACCAAGAATATCTGGGGGGGGGGAGGGTGGGGGGGGATGCCCCTGTTCCTATTGAAGTCAGTGGTAAACTGCTCCTGACTTTATTCAAGGGGTGCAGCACTGGGAGGTTTGCTACCCAGGCTTATATGGCCCCTGATATCTCTGCTGAGTGCCAACGTAGGTGCAATTGTGATCTTTTCTGATGGGGACCTCTTGTACGGGACCGGGGTGCAGGCAATCTGGCCTAACGGTCACAGCTGGGCTGAGGTAGGCGGTGAGCAGGGGTCAGAGAAATCGCTAGAGCCAGGGTCAGAGTCGGGCCGGGGTCAGAGATGAGAGATCAGAGGTAGGCCCAGGCTGGAGTCACGGTCGGAGACTGGCAATCAGGAGACAAGGTGAAGTCTGAGTGATTGCCCAGATACCTTCCTGGGGTTAACTAGTGTGTTGGGCTGTCAGAGGGCTGCAGGGTGCTGTCACGATGGGTCCTTCGAGAGGTGCTTCCTGCAGCGCCCACTCTCCGCAGGCCTCCCTGGCTGCGGCTCTCCCTTGCCCCCGGAGGTACCAGGGGCCATCAGATCTTTACACCCCTCCCCACTGGGAACGGGGGCGGGGCAGCTCCTTTGGTACGAGTCGCTGAACAGCCGCCCTGTCCTAGAGCAATGGCTTGTGTCCGCTCCCGGAGCTGAGCTGGGACTCGAGAGGGAACAGGCTCTGCGGCCTGTGACAAGGCGCTCCAGGCTAACCATGAATAGGTTCCAAGGAAGAAGATGGGCCGTGTGGTTCAGGCACTGGATGGAAAGCAGGGTCCAACTCCCAGCTGTGCCTCAGACTTTCTGTGGGTACCTCAGGCCAGTCCCGTGCTCTCTCGATGCCTCGGTTTCCCCGTTTGTAAATGTGGCCAGTGTCCTTCCTTGTCTCCTGGGGGGCTGTCAGCATAACCCAGCTGCTCAGATGTGGGGTTGGGGGTGGGCATGGAGAGAGCCTTTTAGTCTCCTGTGATTGCTTGTATGTGTCCATGTACATTGCCTCTTGGACTCGTGGCGCATTCGGAGTCCCAGTGGCGTGGGCCAGTCTGATTGACGGGGAATTGTCTGACCTTTTACTAATCCTTGTTTGGAGAGGTTTTGACCATGCTGTTTTCTGCCTTGCTTCTCAGTGGTAACGAGACGGCAGCCTACAAGTACAGGTACCGGCTTTTCTACCCGCGGGTCTGCATGCCTCACGGAATGCTGCATTTCGCCCCCTGACATCACGCCCCCGGCCAACCAGGGCTGGGCCATTTGCTTTTTAACCCATTCAGTGCTGCACCCCCTCCCACCTCCCGCCGCTGAGCTGCCTCTAAGAGAGAGCTGGATTGTGCCTGATGCATTGGCAGCGCAGCTAGTGTGTTCTACCTGAGCACACCTGGTCTATTTAGTACCACTGCAGGTGTGTTCTACCAGCACCCACTTAGTGCATTTCATTGCACTGCAGGTATATTCTAACTGAGCATACCTGGTCATATTTTGCAGTGCATCTGGTGCATCTGCCTGGTCTATTCAGCAGCAAAGCTTTTAATTGCATCGTAAATATTTGACTAATAGTCTGGTGTTTATTCGGACACTGGGTGGCCTTTTTGCCAGCACGACACAGGTCTCGAGCTCGAGCTCCCCTTCGTGATCCCACTGTGCACTTCATTTGTTTCCGTCTGTAAAGGGCTTCGGCTGCAAACAGCCTGTGCAGATGGCCCCGCCTTGTGCTTTCTACCCAGCAAAGCCGCGGTGAAAGGTTGGTGTTTCTGCAAGGCCTAGGGAACGTACTGCCGCCGCCGGGGCAGAATAACAGGGTGACACGCGGCTCCCGTGCTGTTACTGCAGGGACCTCATCCAATTGAATCTGACAGTAGGACGAAGCTTGATGGATCCAACTGGGACACTGCAAGCGTAGGCTTTTTCACTCCTGCAGAGGTCACAGTGTCCTGGCAGAGTCCCCAGTGATTGTCTGAGCTGGCTGGTCTGGAGCAGGCCCTTTCTTAGACAGTGGGTAGCACAAACCGTAGAGTGAAATGCAAAGGGAAACAGACCCTTTCAGAACTGTGGCTAGGGTTGCCAGGCTGGCGGTTCCGGTCGGCACTGCCGACTGGACCGTTAAAAGTCCGGTTGGCAGCGCAGCGGGGGCCTGGGGCTAAGGCCGGCTCCCAGCCTGCCCTGACTCCATGCGGCTCCCGGAAGTGGCCACCAGGTCCTCGCATCCCCTAAGCGCATGGGCAGCCAGGGAGGCTCTGCATGCTGCCCCCGCCCCTAGTGCCAGTTCTGCAGCTCCCTTTGGCTGGGAACCGCGACCAATGAGAGCTGAGGGGGCGGCGCCTGCAGGCGTGAGGGCAGCGCACGGATCCTCACTGGCCGCCCATGCACCTAGGGGCTGCAAGGACCTGACAGCCGCTTTCTGGGCAACAAAATGGCAGATGAAATGCAATGTTGATAAATGCAAAGTAATGCACACTGGAAAACATGATCCCAACTATACATATAAAATGATGGGGTCTAAATGAGCTTTTACCACTCAAGAAAGAGATCTTGGAGTCATTGTGGATAGTTCTCTGAAAACATCCACTCAGTGTGCAGCGGCAGTCAAAAAAGCAAACAGATTGTTGGGAATCATTAGGAAAGGGATTGATAATAAGACAGAAAATATCATACTGCCACTATATAAATCCATGGTACCCTCACACTTTGTGTGCAGATGTGGTCACCTCATATAAAAAAAGATATATTGGAATTGAAAAAGGTACAGAGAAGGGCAATAAAATGATGAGGGGTATGGAACGGCTTCCGTATGAGGAGAGATTAATAAGACTGGGACTGTTTAGCTTGGAAAAGAGATGACTAAGGGGGGGATATGAGAGAGGTCTATAAAATCATGACGTGTGGAGAAAGTGAATAAGGAAGTGTTATTCTTTCCCATAACACAAGAACTAGGGGTCACCAAATGACATTAATAGGCAGTAGGTGTAAAACAAACAAAAGGAAGTATTTCTTCACTCAGTGCAGTCAATCTGTGGAACTCATTGCCAGGGGACTTTGTGAAGGCCAAAACTATAACTAGGTTAAAAAAATAATCAGATAAGTTCATGGAGGCTAGGTCCATCAATGGCTATTAGCCAGGATGGTCAGGGATGCAACCAGATGCCCTGAGTGTCCCTAGCCTCTGACTGCCAGAAGCTGGGAGTGGACAACAGGGGATGGATCACTCAATGATTGCTTGTTCTCTTCATTCCCTCTGAAGCACCTGGCATTGGCCACTGTTGGAAGACAGGATACTGGACTAGATGGACCATTGGTCTGACCCAGTATGGCCGCTCTTATGGTCATATGATCCAGATGAAATAGCATAACAAATTTGCAGTCACCTAGGACATCATGGTTGTCAGTATACTGGACACCATAATGACTCAGAGTTTAGCAACAGATGTTGGGCTAGAAACCAGGCCTTCCTGTTCCAAAAAGCTCAAGCTCCTGCCGCGTGAGCGAAAGGAGACTCTCCTAGCACTATAGGCCCAATGGCACACAGCTGGACAACTGAAGGCTGTGGGTGGCACGTGTATGAACCAGTTTATTGGGAAGACAACCAAGCCTCAGAGCAGTGAAATGACCTACCCGAGGCCACACATTGAGGCATTGTCCGAGAGGAGGTCAGACCCCCCAGCTGGCACATGTGCCTTAGCTAGCACACGGAATGTGAACAACCATTAGGGTAACTGGCAGCTCTGTCTTGCCCTGCAAGGCCAGCTGTGGAAGTGTGTGGAATTGTTGTCTGAGGAGTCAGGGATGAATTTGACTTGATCACAGATTGACCCAACGGACTCAGAGGCAGAAAAGGGTTGGCGTATACTCAGTCCACTCTCTGGCCAGCGTGGCACTGTCTCTAATTCTCCACTGCCTTTGTCCACTCTTCCCTTGGGAGTCTATTCCACTGCTGAAAAGAGTGCACGAAGTCATCGTGTCCAGTCCCCTGCACTGAGGCAGGACCGAGTAAACCTAGACTATCCCTGACAGGTGTGTGTCCTGTTCAGCCTAGACCTTTAAATTAGGCTCTGTTGAACCCCCTACACAATTCCTTTCACTCCTTGGTATTCACCCTCTCGTCTCATCCTTGGAGACTCATAATTGTATGTCCTTTCGTCACCAATCTGTTCAGCCTAGACAGTGTGGCCTGGGGATAGTGCGCTGGCCTAGACTCAGGAGATTTGGTGTCTATCCCTGGTTCTGGCCTGACTGGTGAACTTGGGCAAGTCACTTCCCTAGTCTGTGCCTCAGTTTCCCCATCTGTAAAACAGGGATAGTGGTCTCCTTAGAAAGCACTTTGGGAGCCACAGATGAAAAGTGTAGTTATATAAGCACTGGAGAGTATTATTATTATCATCATCACCCATTTCAGCCTTCTAATATTGCCTTGCACAACTCAGCCCCTCCAGGATACGGCACAACTCATGCACAAAGCGATGGTGAGAAGAAACAAACCAGCAAAGGGATTTTGCAGGAGCAAAAATGATGGTTCTGGGGAAGAATTAGGCTGCCCGGCTGGATTTATTTCTCATCTACTCGACCACATAGCCAGAGAGAGAGGCCAATTAGCAAAAAAATAACCTGAGTTAATTTCTGCTCCTATTTTATGTAGCCTAGGGTCTTACCTGGAAACTATTCGAGGGCTAAGCTGCAGAATTAAGAGGCAGCAGGTTTAAAACAAACATAAGGAAGTATTTCTTCACACAGCGCAGTCAGCCTGTGGAACTCATTGCCAAGGGAAGTTGTGAAGGCCAAAACTATAACAGGGTTCAAAAAAGAATTAGATAAGTTCATGGAAGATAGGTCTGTCAGTGGCTATTAGCCAAGATGGTCAGGGGCCCAGTCCCATGCTCTGGGTGTCCCTAGCCTCTGACTGGCAGAAGCTGGGACTGGATGACAGAGGATGGATCACTGGAAATTACCTGTTCTGTTCATTCCCTCTGAAGCACCTGGTGCTGGCCCCTGCCAGAGACAGTATCCTGGGCTAGATGGACCATTGGTCTGACCCCCTCTGGCTGTTCTCATGTTCTTAGATTTCAGACCCAGGATACCTCAGTGTTTGAGGGTGCCCAGCATCTGATCTAGGGGTTGGAGCCATCTGGCCATCCTTGCTTGCCATACCCTGCCCATCACTGTGATATCTAAGTGCTGCTCGGATATATGTCAGGTGACCAAAGGTCTGGGCGGGTCTGTCTATACTACATGGAGAGTGTGCCTCCCAGCCTGGCTAGACAGACGGATGCTAAAAATAGCAGTCTGGATGTTGGGGCACGGGCTACCCACCTGACTCCATGCCCGGCCATCCCTTTGGTCCAAACTCAGGTGGCTAGCCCGAGCCACCACCCATACTGGCTGGGAGGCCAAGCAGAGCCTGTGTCTCTGTCTCTCTCCCTGAGGCGAGGTTACGGTTGCATTCATAGAATATCAGGGTTGGAAGGGACCTCAGGAAGTCATCTAGTCCAACCCCCTGCTCAAAGCAGGACCAATCCCCAACTAAATCCATTGTCCAATGTTGTTTCAAAGCCGCGATTTGGGGGGGCTACTGGGTGGGAGGGTCAAAGACGGGCTCGTCCTGCCCGAGGCAAGGGCAGTTCGTCTGTGCTAGTCATGCCGGACCAGTCTGTGACATTTGATCTGCTGCCAATCACCCAGTTCCCCTGCCTACAAGGAACTGCAGGGATGAATGGAAACAACCTGACATGGCTAAGGTCCTTCTTCTCCAACGAAACCTCCAGGGTCGCTATGTTCCTTTGCCTCCAGCATCCCACGAGGCTCAGGCCTCTCCTCCGTGTCGTCCAACATCTGAAGGAAGCCGTTGGGGGTGCTGGTGAAATGGCATGGGCCCAAGCGCCCTCAGTACAAAGGTAGCACCCAGCACGCCCCACCCCACCCCAGCTCGTCCAGTGCCTGGCCAAAGTCAGCACCTGGGTGGGGAGCAGCTGAAGGCTGAGGGGCGCTGCTCGTTTGAGGACTGTGGACCTCCCATTGTGCAAGCTCATCCCTTCGGCTTAGCTCCCTCGTCCTTTGCACGCTCCCGCACGCCCAGCCGCCTCACCGCTCGTCACGCTGTTACACCTCCAGCCCGGGAAGGAAGAAAGAGGGAGATTGTTGTTTTGATTTTTAAATACTTGGAGGCACCCGG